CTTTTTGCTGCAGTAGAAACGCTTATTTTCGTCACAATCGCAATCACAATCGTGGAATAATGATCATCGCTCAAACTGACAATGGAATCCAGAATTTTGCAAATCGCAATAATTAAAGGGTCAGTAATTTGTTGCCAGTGCGATGCATTGCTACTCCTGATTAATCAGTCAAAATAAACTTTGTTTTGGTGTAAAGTCAAAACAAACCATGCGATAATTTTATAAACTTACAATGATATCAGATGAAATGTTGCTTAATTAATGAGATTCTAATCTTAAACAAATATACACATAGAACTCACGGTCTTAAAGAAATTTATTTGAAATACTTTACAGAAATATAAAAAATCGCAACTATATAGTAACTATATAGTAACTACATATTTATAATATATATATGTTTATTATAGTAGGCGTATTGCTATTTTGAAGTAAATATAAAGAATTTTTATAGTTAATATATAATATATTTATAGTAATTATATAGTAATTATATAGTAAATATATAGTAAATATATAGTACAAATATGATAAATATATAGTAAATTTATAGTAAATTTATAATAAATATATAACAATTATATAGCAATTACAAAGTAAAAATATAGCATATATATATTTAAATAAAAATAGTTATATAGTAATTATACAATAAATATATTTTTTATTTATATTTTTTATATAGTAAATATAAAATTATTATAAATATTTCATAGTTAAAAAATTATAAAATTATTACATCTAATATTAAAATATAATTATAAATAAAATATATCTATATATATATTAATCTACAAAATATTATACCACCTAATTGTTAGATTCTAAGAATATATATTATTCGCTCACAAGAATTTTTCATACATGAAAAGCTTCTATAGTTGCAGGTAAAGTTAATCATAACTAAAAAATCGTAACCCAAGGATCATAACCTCATATCATGACCAACGATCATGCCCCATACCCAATTGAGGCATGTATTGTGACTGAACCGAAATTGAATAAAACACGTATAGTCAAAAGACCAATGCATATAATCAAATCAAGAATTGTCCAAGATCGAAAAGCCCACGTTTCAAAATAGTAAGATAGAGTAATGAGTTGAAAGTCTTGTAAGAAAATTGTAAAACAAAATTATTAGTTACGTATGTAAAGTTCTAAAAATAGTTAGGTAAAAAGAAAAAATTCACTCGATAAAATTTGAGAACATCGATAGTGAGAAAGTGGTAAGAAAAAGCCCTAAAGTAGTATAATTAATAGCTTGTATGAGTGTCGCTAAAAGAAAACCCAAAAATTTTAAAGCAAGTTTTATTTTAGCGACAATCATATAAACTATGAAATGATTAATAAAATACTGATCTTCAAGAAATTTCAAAAAAACAATAATCGCCCAAATCGTTCCACGCCTCTTTGATAATACCTCAGTGTGGGTGTAGGTGTGTGAGTGTAGTTGTTGCCTTGTATTACTATAAGCAAAAAATAAAAAAATTAATAAATAAACAACTATCAATTAGACAAGATACATAATGGTTTTGTTCAATCTCAGAACACAATCTAGTATCACAAATAGAAAGTAAAAATAATCAATGATGCAGTGCGAAGAAAGGAAATGCATTCCCAGACCGAATAACATCCAGTAAATATAATCAAAAAAAAAAATTAATTAGAGAATCGAAAGGAATAATGCTTATACATCCCATCAACAAACCTTGTAACGCCTATCTAATGAAAAATTGAGATACCAAAACAGTCCTAGTGCATGAAATAAAAACAGTAAGTTAAACAACCGAGATATAAAAAAAAATTCCAAGAACTTTATCGCATTATGAAGGATATGTATTGGTTGCTTAAGAGATCCTAAACGCGATAATAATTATGATGATGAAACCAACATTACGAATACAAATGTGGATACTGATAGCAGTTCAAAAATTTTGGACAAAAGATATGAGTCTGACTGCCTAGATGATATAAACAATAAAATCAGTAGCATTAATATAATGAAGAAAAGACGTTAGAAACCAGGAATCACCGCGAGAGAAAAATTAAAGAACCAAGGTTACTTCCCGGTACATTCTACTTGCAGAATAGAGTTCTGAGTCAACTCAACCATTGATGTGGAACTACGAAAGTTACCTGCCACACATATTTCACTATCAAAAGTTTCTGAGATGAAGTATGCAAGTGGAACGCATAACCCTGTGGGTACTACTAATGCCATAAAGCCGGACCTGAAATGGAAGAATATAAGGCGCTCATTTATTATTAAGAATCTAAAAACATAAGTAATGTCAATGGGATAACTAACTTTAGCATTGTTATGGAGATGGAAATGAAGGTAAAACATAAAACGTCAAGAATCTGTCGATATAGGTGACACCGCCAGAAAATATAAGCTTGGCCAAAATGAAGAAAGGGACGAACGTAAGATCAATGCTCTGTGTCACTGAGCTGCCAACATAGACCATGCTAATGGAATATATACATCGAGAAATGGGATCGAAAATGACGAAACGCTTGAAAAGCTTAGAGATGCTGCCCCTGGAAATAATGAATGTGAACATTTGATCTTGATCAGGCTTGCGAAGCTTGGATTGAAAAATTAAAAATTTCAAAAAGCTAGTGCGATAATAGTATGATGGCAAATTGATGAAAAGCAACAACCAAGCAGGCGAAGCGGAAATACTTGCCAAAACAGGATTTAAATATTCAAAGAAAAGCCTAATGAAGCTCATAAAAGAAGGTTATTGATAGGAGTGTCCAAGAAAGAACCCTTATCTGTGAAACTGAGCGTGAAAATAAAGGGACACATTTGTTGAAAACATTTAATAACCATGGAATTACGAATGAAATGACTGAAAAGAAAACCTCGCGATACTTATCATCGTCCTGTATGAAAATTAGAAGTTGCAATTGATCGCATAATTAGAGATTCGGCATACAGTATTTAGCATCAGGCAGAAAAGATATGTGCTGCGATGACCGACATAGTACGAGTCCTCGTAATTCCTGGAATTCCTTGTATTTGAGTAATTTTGGTATTCTAGGTATGATGGAAATGAAATAAGTATAAAGAAAAATTAGAGTAGTAATATTTGCTAGAATTTGCGCTCCAATATTAAAAAATTAAAAAGAGGAGTTTTATTTCCCGAAATAGAGTTAACTTTTAGAATCTTAACTTCGAATCGTATTAGTAGAAGGATCCAAGTAAAAATTTCTTTGTAATATAAATCGTCCCATACAATGGTATTTCTTGTCCCATTTTCTTGTCCCTGTGACTGATGTAAAATTCGTACGTACGTACGCGTTCGAGAAAGAGAATAAAAAACCTGATTGCGTTACAATCACTTTTATAGCCCGATCGGTTGATTTAGTCATCAGTTAGATATCACTGTGATCCTGTGGTACAGTACGTCAAATGAATGCTGAATTGAGAACATACTTCTAAAACAATATAAAAATTGCAGTTATGAAAAGAGCAATAGAAGTTCCACCAACTAATATCTTTATGCAAACCTGGGTTACACTCGACGCACTAGGGCAGCTGTTAAAAATCGAAAAAAACCTGCTATTTACCCCATATCTGATATATATTAAATTGAATAGGTAAAGTGATCAAATTTCTTGTGGGTAATAGTAATATGAGGAAACATTGTTCAAAAGTCTAATTGTAGCTAGTCAAAAAGTAGATAGTAGACTTATTATTATATTTATATTATTTATGCATTTCTAATAAAAAGGAAATAAAAATAAAGGAGATAATTATTCGCATGACCTTGGAAATACTCATACTAAGTTTGAGACCTGTCATTTGGCGACTTTTGTTTGCTATTTAACATCGTAACTAATAAAAATATTCTTTATATTTGCAAATGATAAGTAATATTTAAAATTTACACAAGAATTCTCTATAACTGATAAGGTTTCTTATTCAGAAAAGTATTCATAATCACGAAAACATCGGAATCGTTAACAATGCATTTTAAATGCATTAACTAGCTTAAATCAAAAAATATCTAAATAGCTTTAAAAAAGAAAATATTATTTAGATAGTATTTGTGCTCCGAGTCATGATTATTGTCTTGACATCTTGCATTACAATCATATACAAAATGCGTTTTTCGAATCCCATTAACAATTGTTAAAGGAAAAATTTTGCGAAGTGAAGTATTTTGACTAAGGATGAATCATCAGCAAAAATTTAAACACAGATATACAGTCAAACCCCTCTATAGTCACACCTTCGGGATACAAAAAACTGTGATTATAAAGAGGTGTGACTATTATAGAG